GCTCGCTCTGACACCTTCATCAACCTGCGAGAGGTGAGCGCGAGGCTCTCCCTCCCACCGGGTGAGTACCTGATCGTCCCGTCCACCTTTGAGCCCGCCAAAGAGGCCGACTTTGTACTGAGGGTGTTCACGGAGAAACAGTCAGAGACAGGGTGAGTGTGTGGAGCAGAAGCAGAGAGAGATTCTGTAAAGATCTTTGATGATGTCACTGAGGACTTGTGATTCCACACAGGGAGATGGATGATGATGTGGAGGCAACCTTTGACCCCGAGGTACCACTTTGAGTAAATGACACTAAACTAGTCTAGAAGAATCTCTGTGAAGTGTTAAACATGGAAACCCTGTTCCTTTCCTCAGGAGGAAATCGCCGAGAGCGACATTGATGATTCCTTTAGGTCCATGTTTGCTCAGCTTTCAGGAGATGTAAGTTAAATTTTAATGTTTACAAACATCTTTTAAAAAAGGGCACTGACAGTTTTGTCTCTTGAAAGGACATGGAGATCTCAGTGCGTGAGCTGAGGACCATCCTGAACCGAGTCGTAGCCAAACGTGAGCTTTCCTCATTTCTGTTTTTGTTCACGTGTCTGAAGAGTCATTCATCTCTTTTTTCCCCTCTGTTTGCAGACAGAGACCTGCAGACAGATGGCTTCAGTATGGAGTCCTGCAGAGCCATGGTCAGCCTAATGGACGTATCCTCATCATTTAAACAGTGACCTCTCCTAGATCGTTTTTGTTTCTTGCTGTCTGACCTTGACTCGATCTCAGAAGGATGGCAGCGCTCGCCTCGGGCTGGTTGAATTCCAGATTCTCTGGAACAAGATCAGGAAGTGGTTGGTAAGTCTGTAATACAATTGGCTGTACGTGTCATGTGATTATGAGTTCAGACCTTATCATGAGAACATTTATGTCTATTGGATTGGATCTGGGTTGTTTTCACTTCTTTAAAAATTGAAGGTTCACTCATATGAACAGTCTTCAGGATGACATCATGTGATGTAATGTCTCTGTCTCATTCCCAAAGGGAGTCTTCAGGGAGTTCGACCTGGATAAGTCTGGATGCATGAATGCCTATGAGATGCGCCTGGCCTTGGAGAATGGTGGTAAATTGCCTTAATTGAGTCGCTGAGTGACAATGTTGTCAATGCTGCCATGTTTCTGTTGCTTCACCTGCGACGTTTGTCTCTGCCCCGAGGCTTTAAACTGAACAATAAGATGCACCAGGTACTGGTCGCTCGCTACGCTGACAACGAGGTCATCGACTTTGACAACTTCACCTGCTGCCTGGTCAAACTGGAGGCCATGTTCAGTGAGTTGTGCTTTCAACCATTGAACATATTTATACCTTAATGTGCTTTGTTTTTAACTCGCCAAAGTTCCATAAATTCCAGATGTTTATTACACTTTTAACAAGTTCCTAACTTCAGGTCCACACACGTATGTGTTGTTACCGCTGTCCAACTGATCAATTCTTTTTTTTGTGTGTTTTCAGAGGCTTTCCTGGAGCTGGACAAAGATGGGACTGGAAAAATTGAGGTCAACATTTTTGAGGTATGAAAGTTTAATGACTGATTCCGGACCAGGTTGAACAGATCTGGGATCAGATCCACTAAAACTCTTGTATCTCCTCAGTGGCTGCTGCTGACCATGTGTGGATGAAACTACATTTGGCTGCTGAATTTCAAAGAGCCTCCGACAGGAAGTATGACACGACTGCAACGACCAATCAGAGCAGAGCTCCACTGATCATTACGGTTCCTGTTGCAGCAGTAACTGTAGTACCATTTTATAATCCTCAGTACTGATGCCTGATCACTGTAAAACCGCCTGCTGCTGCATAACAGCCGATAGAGGGAGCCACAGCCTATGCTTTTACTTATTTACACACTAACGATGCAAAGCTCAGGGTTAAGTTTTTACTTACAGTGAATGCCTTGTAACATGGAGACCATAGACTGTATATAAGAAGTGGTGATGAGGAAATCTTTTTGACAGCTATGGGTGCCCAATTAAACCCAGTGAAAAATACAAGGAGTGCTCTACTGGTTTTCAGAAATAACTTGATGTGCCTACAAGTCTAAGGTAAAATGAACTGTTTCTCATACAGTTACACACATTAACCTACTCATACTCTTGTCTACATTACTTGTTTTGGCTACTTTTCAATAAAACATTTTGTTTGTAACAAATTTAGATAATAATAGACCAATGAATGCAAAATGATGGTAGATATAAATGAGTTGTGTGTTAAGGACCACCATTTGTTTTTTATAGGTTACGTGTTATGTATGAAGTTTACGATTGGATCACCCCACTGTCATTTTCATCCAGTATTAACAGTTAGTTACCTACGTTAAAATACCAAGTTAGTGATACAACCAGCAGAGCACATTTTTGTAGCATCACTGAAAGCTACACATGGCGTTCCTTAAACACAGTCTATGGGTTTGACAGTTGCCAAGGTGTGCAATTTCCCCTTCGTTTCAACTATGTTATGCTAACCAAAGCTGATAGATTTTTTTTAACTGCATTAAAGAAAAGGAAACTATACCAGTTTGTGTCTAGTCTGAACTGAATTCACAACCGTGTCATGTGACATTAATGTACAGAACTTACTGTAAGGTCAGTAATTAAATCTGCAATGTTTGGCTCATCAAGTTTGATTAAAAAAAATGATGTGTACTCTAGTAAATTTGAGTTTAAAAACTGATTAAGTAACAGTAACAAACCTCAAGACTAACAAAGATAATAAGAAAATGTTAACAAACCTCAAGACTAACAAAGATAAGAAAATGTAGTTAGAAAAATGAGAAACCCTTTTAATGTTATCATTTTAAATTTCTTTTACTTTTTCTGTTAAAAACAAACATGAGTTGGTGTGTCACAAAAAAAGTGAAAATCAGAAGCTGTTACACTCACAAAGTTACACTGTGGCCTTTGAATGTGCATGATTTGCATTTAAAGACATTTTTTAATAATAATAATTTTCTAGATTTCTATTTTCCCTGTGAACACCCTAAACAAACAAAGCATGTGAGACAAACAAATTAACACTGGCATTTTCTTTTTTTAAATCCAGGTGATAATGAATCAAAGACTGATCAGTTCTGGTCCTCAGTGAGTCCAGCTCGGTCTCTAGGTCAGTCCCGATTCCATTTTAAAGTCATAATTCTATTGTTGACTCTCACTTTTTCAGCATAGTCCCAGTTTTAAAGCATGGTCGAGACTTATTCTCGGCTCTCCGCCGGGCCCAGCAGAACCGCCTGTGCCTCCAGCAGCGTGGTGTCAGTAACGGCCCCCAGAAAGCGGCTGGTGAGCTCCATGTCCTGAAGCCGTACAATGACTCTGCTTCCCCGCTGCAGCTTATCACCTCCCTTCGCCGGCCGCTGACACACGCAGTGGAACTTCCCGCCGAAGTCTATGTAGAGGTCGTCACCGACGATGTGAATAACGCTCCCAAACACCACTTTATCTTTTGAGGGTCCCATCTGGATCAGAGGGGAGCGGCGCAGAAGTGAGGCGAAGCTGTCATCTTCAGTGGAGGAGGCGCCCTTCGCCGTGGCCGAGGAACCCACCGCCTCTCGACGGAGGTCTGACTGCAGGTCGAAGGCGGCAGCGAAGCCCGACTTTGGTCTGTGCTCTATGGACTGGTCGTTCTTAGGGGTTCCGGTGCCAGAACTACAGCCGCGACTGAATGTACCGGTGGCCGGTCTCAGACTAGAGCGGAACACGACTAACCTCAACGCGGCTGCCATGTTGTTGTCCTGAGCGACAGAATTAACGTCACTTCCTGGAGCGGAACCTTACATAGCGCCAACTGGTGGCTTAAGAACGGTAACCATTAATCTAAAAATATTTCTGTAAAATGTTATTGTTAGTCATATAATTCTTATGCATTCTCATTGTTTGAACAACTAGTGTAGTCGTCAACTTTTTAAAATAAAATTTAATAGATGAGATTTATGACTTTGCAAAAATAAAGAGTAACTTTTTATGCCCTCAATTTTAACACCGTATTGATGCAGTCTTTAAAAGAATTAGAAATGAAATGTGCATTCAAACTTTTGAATAAATTTCACTATTTTGTTCTTGGTAGGCATATTCAAAATAGCTTTGGTTTTGCTTAATTATTTTCGAAAATGTTAAGCTTCTTCATTTTTAAACAGACTTGTCTTGTTTCACACACTATTATTCCTTCTTTAAAATTTTTAGAATTAGTTTACTGCATGTATTTACATTATTTATTACGTTAATATTACAAATTATTTTCAGTGGCCTCTGGATGAAGGTAGCTCTTAGAACGCTAGGGGGCAGTATCGTTACAAACAGAGATTTTAAAAACCAAAGAAGGCGGAAGTGCGTCATCCTGTGTAGAGTAGTCAACTGCAAATCCAAGATGGAGGTGTACGTTAAGAGTCCAAACTTTCGTCGTTTTTCGTTGTTTCCAGAGGGTTCTTTGGTTGGAGATGTTCTGGCGAACTTGGTCCAGCTCCAGGTAAGTGAGATACACTCGAAACAATACTCGGAAAAATCGCGGAAATGGATGTTTGATAACAAAAGCTAATGTTAGCCGTTAGCTCAAATCATACGCAGCTCGATTAAACTTGTACTGTGTTAGCCGTTAGCTCAAACCATGCGTAGGTCGATTAAACGTGTACTTCTTACTAATATACAAGAGGTGCTCGATTAAACGTGTACTTCTTACTAATACAAGAGGTATCTAAATATTTGTATTCGATAAAATAAGTATTATATCGCCTTAAAAACGTAAATATTGGTTATAAATAAACGCTTACTTTATAGCCACACTAGTTCACACAATCGTTGGTTGTAAACTTCTTATCAGTTAACGTAGCAGCACTTTAATACATGAAGGCAAGTAGACGGTATAAAAATGAGAGCGTGAACTTCAAATTAAGTATTAGAATGGCAAACTTCTACCTAATTCTAATACAACTGAGGTGCGTTTAGTATGTAATCAGTCGCGTAATCTTAAAGGCGCAGTTTTCTGTAAAGCTCGCCGATAAGACAAGTATATGTAAATGTAATATGAACAGTATTGTTGTTGCCAACACTTTTGCCATGGTGTGTATGTTCTGTGACACGAAATCAACAACACTGTTTATACATACGTGTTTAAACATTTACTTGCACGTATTTGGTGTTAAACACACATCTGTCTAAAATCCTACAGCAGGGGTCACCAACTGTTTTGAAACTGAGAGCTACTTGTCTGATACAAGCTTCCAGAACAATGTAATAATAATCAGTTCTGGGACATACAATAGCAGACACTCTTCTTTCCTTTGTTATTGCACCCATTTGAATATCATTGCAAGTGTAACGGATTCGAAAAGCACACTAACAGTACCATTTCTGACCCTCTTGTTGACTAGTTTCATTTGTAGAACATACCTGCGTTTTTAGGTAGTCCAGCTCTTGCATTTTGATCCGCAGTGCATATAAATGTGGAAGCTACTACAATTGAATTGCAAATAACACAACTACATTACAAAAGAACTGTGTGCGTGTGCCAACAGGGAATCCCCCCGGAGGATTTCTATATCTTAAGAAATGGCCGTCGGGCGGATCTCAATGATCCTGTGCAGAATGGAGCCACTTATCACCTCCAGCCCCGTCTGTGTGGTGGGAAGGGGGGTATGTAGTACTACATACACTGATCAGATTGAAGAGTTCTACAGGGTGTAATCGTTCACTCCTGACTCAGTGTGTTTTTTTTGTCAGGTTTTGGTTCCATGCTGCGAGCCCTTGGTGCTCAGATTGAGAAGACGACCAATCGGGAAGCCTGCAGGGATCTGAGTGGACGACGTCTTAGAGATGTCAACCATGAAAAAGAGTGAGTCAGAGTCCTAACGTTTTGGGTTTTTTCCCCACAAATTTTAAAATATAGCTAATGTAAAGTAAATACTACAAACAACAGTACATCTAAGCACTGAACACCTCCTCCTCCTCCTTACTTGTGCAGGATGGCGGACTGGCTGAAGAAGCAGGCAGAGCGTGAGGCAGAGAAAGAGCAACGCCGAACTGAGCGTCTCCAGAGGAAACTGGCGGAACCCAAACACCGCTTCAGTGATGTTCAGTACCAGGAGCAATGCTATGACCTTTCACAGCGAGTGGAGGAGTCTGTCATCAAAGGTATCTTTGCAAATTCTTTTTTTTAATATATCCCTGTTCCATGTTCTTTAATAAAATGCAATTATTACATTATTTACCATGATAAAAAATAACTCACAAATGGGCAATTTAATTAAAATATATTTATTTTCTTAAATACAATGTTTACTTTAAAATTAAAGGCAATAATACATGTGACCAGGCTATGATACTAGTGTAATGTTTCATATTAACAATAGTCATGAATGGTAGAATATCCCATAACAATTAAGCTCTTAACATTCACAAAAATTAGCAAGATAAAGACAATTATGCAGTTAACAAATGATAGATGCTATAATTATGTATTTTGGTAAATTAGACCAGGATCTCAGTCGCTCAGAAATATTACCAATTTGCAGGATTCGGGTTAACTAACAAAGGGAGATTTATTGTGTAGCTTTAAAGAGTGACATCAACCCAAGACAAGACAATGTTTTTGTTAGTCATGTAATTCTTATGCATTCTCATCGTTTGAACAACTAGTGTAGTCGTCAACTTACAAATATAATTTAATAGATGAGATTTATGATTTTGCACAAATAACTTTTTATTTTAAGTAACTTTTTGTGCCCTCAATTTTAACACTGTATTGATGTAGTCTTTAAATAAAATTAGAAATGAAATGTGCATTCAAACTTTTGAATAAATGTCACTTTTGTTTTTGGTAGGTATATTCAAGATAGCTCTGGTTTTGCTTAATTATTTTCGAAAATGTTAAACTTCTCCTTCATTTTTAGACAGACTTGTCTTGTTTCACACACTATTCCTTCTTTTTAGAATTAGCTTATTGCATGTATATACATTATTTTGATGTTAATATTTTGCAAGATTTGGGTTAACTAACAAAGTAGGGAAATTTATTGTGTAGCTTTAAAGAGACCAACTCAGACTCTGTGTGTTTCAGGTCTGCAGGCATCCTCTAGTGGACAGGTGAAAGCAGACACTGTCTCAGCAACCAAGAGAACCAACTCAGATGACAGTGAACAGACCACGAGGAAGAAGATGGTGGCTGCCGATTACTGGTGAGTGTGATGAATGACACTAACCAAAACCATTTATTACCTTTTTTTTTCTCCTTAAGCTTTTTTTTTTAAATATGAGGAACACAATGTGAAGCTTGATGGTTTTTTTAAATTCTATTCCATATTCAGGACGGGACTGGAAGGATTCAGCTCTGAGGATGAAGACGTAGAGTCTGAGGAGGAATCTTCTCCATCCACATCCTCTTCAAGCTGTGGAGCTGCTGCCAAAGTGGAGCAGAGAGAAGAGGCTGAGCCTCAGCAGAGCTGCAGGTAATGTCCAGTGTTTTATTATGTATATCTATTATTATTTTATTATATTATTTCATTTTTCATGAATCATTTCATTTTTTTATAGGTCATCTCCTGCAGAATCCAGTTCCTCTGAAGACCAGGGCCCTACAAACATAAGCACTTCTGAGGTCCAGGACCAGTCGTCGACAAACAGTTCTGAAGATCAGGACAATGCAGCGGAGACTCCTGCAGAGCCGAAAACATCTGAAGACCAGGAATGTACAGCGATGTGTAGAATCTCTGAAGACCAGAATGCTGACGATACAAGAACCTCTGAGGTCCAGAGTCCTGCAGAGACCAATCAGCCTCAAGAGCAGATTGGTGCAACAGAGTCTAAAACCATGAAGGACTCCGACCCTGTGGCACAGTCTGAGCAGCAGGTGAGTCCGTTTTTACAAGAAACATCTTAGTAATGAGTCAGAAACATCGTGGGGAAAAAAAACAATTTATTAAGAAGTACTAGAAGAAATTCTAACGTTGTTTTCCCCCCGTTCCCTTCTCCTCAGTCTGCGGTTGACCTCGACTCAGTATCGTCCGTCCAGCAGCTCGAGGCTCTGGGTCTTGACATCCTAAAGAAGGAGCTAATGTCTCGAGGTCTAAAGTGCGGAGGAACCCTTTCAGAGCGCGCTGCCCGTCTCCACTCCATCAGAGGACTGAGGCCAGACCAGATTGACCCGTCGCTGTTTGCCAAGTCCGGCAAAAGCAAAAAGAAGTGACCAGATCACCGATGTCCTGGAGACCCACATCTGCATTGTTGGAACATTTTTGTGAGACATTTAGACACTGATGGACCCCCCATGTCTTTAATGGGATTGTTGATGGATGTGTGAGTGTTTAAAAGCCAGGATTCCAGGAAGTAACTTGAGGAGAGGTCTCATTTTTATAGCAAACCATGACATCACCCGGTCGGAAGTCCACATCCTCCTCCACTGAAAGGCCGCATTCCATTCCTACCTTCACCGTCGGAACTTCGTCCTTGTGGTGCTTCAATGCTATCAGGCTCCCTGCAGGGGGCAACACACATATATGAAAGTTTAAATCTCCTGTAACTGTCATATCAATCACCTTTACATATTATTCAGTGTGTTTATCCCCTGGACCTGTAATTTGATTTTTTTTTTTTTTTGACTTGAATTAAACTAAGTAACTTCACATTATTGTTGTCACTCACCCTCCCAGATGGTGTCCAGTCCTCTGACAAGTTTAAAGTTATGACCCCGGTCAAGCACACCCTTCTGGACCCGGCACCCTGCAACTGGAAGCTTTTTCTTGCCCACAGACACCATAAATGTAGCCAGCACCACGGCCTCTCCTGCACCAGAAGAGAGAGACACATGAGACTGGACATTGGAGCAAATGTTTGGACTTTGTGGTCTCAGACTCACCAACCACATCCTGCGACACCAGAGGAGGGATCTTCCTGCTCAGCTCTTCCTTCAGCTCATCCACAAGTTTGTAAATTATTGTGTTCAGTCGCACGGGGACATCATTCTTTGCTGCTAGTCGCTGCACTGGCCTGCTGGCTGTCACGTTAAAACCGAAAATTGTACCTGAACAGAGTAAGACAGCGAGAGGTGGGAAATGGGTTGTGATCAGTAACAACAATCTACATCTTCACTTCACTGTTAGACACGTGGATTGACACAATTGTTTTTAATGTATGGCAAATGAGGTTAAATCTTTATCTCTGCTTGTTTTTATTAAACATTTTAAACGAGAGAAATTTGTATGTCTTGTTACATGGGTAATTTCTACAATTGTTTGATTGGCAAAAAATTTAAAACGATATTCTAAAATCCTTTTTAATGCAGCGAAAGACCAACAATAATATATCTTAACTTATTTTTAAATGACCTGCTAACCTCGAATTACATCACATATAATTCTTATAAAATACAAAATGAATGTTCTAAAATAGAATCTCAAAATGCTCTACGTTGAAAATAAGAATCCTCCTGCCCCTCAATTTTTTTTTTTGATTTCTCAAAATGCTCTAATTTGATAAGAAACTTTTTTTTCCAAATTTTTATGAATATTTGTCAACATATGTCCAACATGACATGCAAAATTAGGATTTTGCCCAAAAAAATCTGAAATTAAAACTGCTTTTGAAATTAGTATCAAAGTAGGCAACTTTTGTAAAATTATTTAATAAAATTGTATATTTTCCTGCATATTTCTAATAAAATTAGAACATTAAATACATTTTTTTTTAAATAAAATTATTCAAAATATTCACCTGGCAGCATGTT